TTTAAGGTAATTTTAAAAATTTACTTACCAAGAACGGAAAGCTTTTTTAGTTTGTAGCCTATTGAGCATTGTAGTCAAAAATTATTAATGGAATCATATACTTAACGTATTTATCTATTTTTCAGAATCTTTGTACCAAGTTTTCAAATTTATGTGTCAAGAAATCAAAAATTATTCAACAATTAAAATTAAGTACATTTTTAATCTATTTATACTTAACCACAGGTATATACCATGAAAAATATAATAAAGCTATCTAAATAAAATAATATTTATTATAAGTAAATAAGCATCTGCATATGTATATATATATATATATATATATATATATATATATATATATATATATATATATATCTATATATATATATATATATATATATATATATATATATATATATATATATATATATATATATATATATATATATATATATATATATATATATATATAAATATATATATATATATATATATATATATATATGTATATATTTATATGTATAAATATACATATATATATATATATATATATATATATATATATATATATATATATATATATATATATATATATATTTATATATATATATATATATATATATATATATATATATATATATATATATATATACGTATATACATATATACGTATATATATACATATATTTTATATGAAAATCTATATGTGAAAATCTATGTATATATGTATATATATTATACGTATATATATACATATATACATAGATTTTCACAGTATAATTTCACACACACACGTCCTAGTAAAATAAAGTTTATGTAGTTATAATATTAAAAATATATTACATTTAATATTATATCCATGTAATAACAACAATCACATACACTTTATATATTATATTAGAACATATAAAATTAGTGTATAGTTATAACTAACATTTTTTTAAATATTTAAAAAATTTATTTGAAGTCAAAGTACAATTTTGCATTTGAAAAAAAATTGAAGCAATTACGAGTAATTTTTTCAAGAATTTTTTTTTTATAAATTTCTACGGTTAGATATTGAGAAAATTGATTTCAAATAAATAAACAAATCTTGTATATCAAAAATTAATGATATTATAAAATTAAAGTTTTATCATGCTAAGATGTTTTTAATCTCTATTTATCGATATATATATATATATATATATATATATATATATATATATATATATATATATATATATATATATATATATATATATATATATATATATATACATTGTATTATGATTGAGTGTGCCAGAAAGATGGTAACAGTAACAATCAATTGCGTATTCTCTTTTCTTTAAACCCATTTATTGCAAAAATAAATAAGAAATTTTTGTTTATTTCCTTTAATTGTTTGAAATAGTTTTTCACTCAAAATAAATTTTTCATGGGAATGTAAATAAACGTACTTTTGTTTTAATATCTTCTTTAGCAATATTTGAAATTTCTTCATTTTCTCCTTTCATTCTTTTAGCTGCAGTTGAGAGACTTGATTTGATGGCGTTCAAATTTATTCCTGCATCTTAAACAACCGCTGTTGTAATTCTCTGCAAAACCATAGGAGAGATTTTATTCCCAGTTGCCGTTAAAGCAACATTTCCCGAATAAATATCTTTAGTAATATTGGCCCGAACTTTTGTACTGCTTGGTTTATTTATTTATTTTTTTTATCCATTTGCCTGGCTCAAAATCGGAAACAGAAAAGTTATCTGAACCTAGTTCATTATTACTGCAAAAGTTAATTAGTTATAAGTTGTTAGATTGACAAAAACACAAAGTTAGAGTCAAACCATAAAGTGGTAGCGCACTTGCCTCAGAAACGTAAGATCCGTGGTTCAAACCCCACCTCTGGGCAGGCTTTGCGACATCGGTTGGGAAGGAGGCGTGAACTTCCTATTAAATGCTCTTCCGCGGTGCTCTGTGATAAGACTGTAAGGACTTCTTGGGGCACCTAAAATCAACATTAAAAAAAAAAGTATATAATATAAAAACTAATTTTGTGAATAAGAAGCAACATAGTGTAAGTCAAAAAACAAAATAAAGTTAGTTAAATCAATATTTTATATACTAATGCTTCACTTCATATAGTATCTAAAATAAAATATATAGTAATATAGTAATTAAAGTAAAATTTCAATAGTTCATCTACCTTGAGAGCACATTTAATTTAGATCTGATCCAAAACTGCCTAAACATTTAAAAAAACAAAACTTACACTATGCAAAAATCTCACAATCAAAACATAATCAAATTACTTTATTAGCATATTTAGTGTCTAGAGGATCCAAATGATATAATCTTGGACCTTCTTGAACTTTAAAGAATTGTAAATCTTCGATTTTAGATTCATTGGATCTTAGCTAGTCACTTTGAATAAAATCTTTCAGTTCTGGATTTCTTATCCTAAAAATAAGTTTAACTAAATTTTCAGATCCTATTTGACTTTTTTTATCTTGATTTGAGTTTTTTTTTAACATTCTTTAATAAATAAGAATGCTTTTGCTGAAGATTTTTTAAACATTTTTGAATATTTACTTCGCTAATAACTGGAAACCCTGCTTTAATCCATTTTTTTTTTTATTTTCGCTATGATACATTCACATGCAACTAGTTGACACCTTTCAACCTTAAAGTTTGACTGATGGAAAGTATAGAATATCCAATTTTTTTGTAACTCCATTTCGAAAATTTGTTTGTCAATATTTAAGGTGTTGCAAGATATCCATATCCGTAGGAAGTTGCGTTCCTAAACTATATAAGTTTTTATTAAAATAGCATTACCAATACTATATAAATAGTATAACTAAACACGCATTATAATCTTACAGAGTATAATAGTGTGATGGATTGGTGTCGATATTGAGATGAAAATGTGTTTTAGTGATCATGACTTCTTTTCAGGTAAATACAAAATATCATAAAACTGAATCGATAACTGTATATTATTTTTATTTCTATGCAACACAAGCCTGAAATGGCAGGCGTAGCTTGATCTATAATATGAGAAATCTTTTTAGAAAGTATCAAACTATTATTGCACAAAATCTTGTGTTTCTGATAAATCATATCAATACTTGTTCAGTTAGGGATTGTCCATACAGTACGTACGCTCAGAGTGGAATAGGAGTCTGCAAATAGCGTATATGAGATGGGAAGGCATTAATTGGGAAGGAGTTAATTATAAAAAAAAAGGAGACACTAAATTAAAAGAAATATCGAAAAATGTTAGATAAATAGTTTAAAAGCTTTGTTAATTTTCGGAAGGTGGAGAGTACTCAAAAAAGCGTATTGCAAAAGCAAAATGCAAAATGCGTACTTTATGGACGACCCCTTAGTAATTAAACATTTTAAGTAACTGAGTTACTTAACAGTTAAGTCGTCGCATAAGAATTATAAGGTTCTATATGCCTTGTTTTATCTTGAAAGAATTTAACAATCAAAGTTTTAATAATAATTAATAATAAAAACAAACCACTTAAAAAATGATATATTATATATAATTTTTTAACATTTTTAACAGATAACATAAACAACTTATAATTTATAATTATAATGAATAACAGCTGTAAAACATGTATTAAATAAATATTGAAAGTTAAGTTCTCACAACATAAAAAAAGGTATAACCTTATAATTCTAATGTGAGGAAGTGAATTTAACTGAACATTCAAAATAAAATTTAAATAACTGAGTTACTTAAATTTTTATTTTGAATTTTAAAATTCAAAATAAAAAATGTAACTTTTAAATTTTAAATCAATGTAAAGGCTTCATATTAATTGTGCTTTACTTAAAAATAAATTCATATAAATTCTTAGTAAAAGAACATTTAAGAACTTTTATTAAAAAAATTTTAGTAAAAGAATTTCTAGTAAAAGAACTTTTAGTAAAAGAATTTTTAGTAAAAAAAAGTGTAATGGTTTGCTATTTATTTTATTTTGGGAAACGGCCGGCGGAGGAGAATGGAAGAATGTCAACGAGAAGACTTACCTTCAAATACATAACTAATTAAAGTAGCAAGCAACGTACAATATTTTAACCAAAAAACATTTTTTCATTATAATTAAAAAAATGCATTTGTTTACTCCAAATGCTTTCTTAATATCACAACAAAATGCCATACATTTTGGGAATTTATGGATAATTTAAATAATAAATGCTCGGTAATAAAACAAATATACGTATGATTTTAAATTGGAAAAATATGTAGTGTAGGCCCCTTTTTTATTTAACTAATTTGGTTTTATATTATCCCTCCCTCAAAGATACTGAAATCAGCAACTTTTGACAAAAAAATTGACATTTTTTTCACAAAAACAAGCCTTGAGGGAGGGTCTAGAGCGGTTAGAAAATGCCCGGTATATATATATATATATATATATATATATATATATATATATATATATATATATATATATATATATATATATATATATATATATATATATATATATATATATATATATATATATATATATATATATATATATATATATATATATATATATATATATATATATATATATATATATATATATGTGTGTGTGAGAAAAATGTTTTTGTATTAATATTTTTATTTGAAAAAAAAATGAGAGCTTTCTATTTTTGTTTTGTATGTGCCTATTTCAAAATGTTTATTGCGTAAGGGACTGTTGAGAAATTCTTTTTACAAAAACAATTGTCTACTCGAAAGTCGTTATTAGGAAATAAATTTTTCGTATAGCGTGTAACGGAAAATAATTTTTGGCATTTGTAAATCCCATTATAGAATTTAGGTAGGGTTTTTTACAAGTTTAGTATTTCGGCGAACAACCCTAGTTCATTGTCTGATAACTTGTTTAATTATTTTCGGGATATCTAATCCACTTTGCTTAACGAATTTTGATATTTTAATAATTTTCGTTAAATAATAAAACAAATTATATTTATGTAAAAGTCATTATAAACTTTTCTCTTAACAAGAATTAAATAATTTCTATTACTTTTAGGCCCATCGGGTTATTATATCTGTTATGTTGATAGTTGCTGTAATCGATCAGGATAGTACACAAAGGTAAATTTTTTTTTAACATATTATATAACAATAAAATAGCAGTTTACTTTAAAATATTTAACAAAGAATTATTAAAATGTTAAATGTAGATTTCACGCCTCCTTCTTTACTAATGTTCATTAGGGAAAAGTGACATTTTCAGCCAAAACCTCCCAAAAAAAGTTTAAAATTTTTTGTTATTAGATACAGTTTGTTAATATAAAAAAACAAAATTACAGCCAAAAATTCCATTTGTTTTTATATACAGTCGTAGGTTCTGATTTAGGCAAACAGACAGCAGTTGAGTAACAACACCAGACACCAGTTGTTGTTTTTTAATGTTATCTATCTTCTTTTTAAATGCGAAAACTAAAGTCGCAAATAAAATACAAAAAAAAAATGTTTACAATGGTATGTTTTTGTTTTTTTTTTGGTAAAATTTTCTTGTCAAATTTTTATGAAAGATTTTTCACACAGTTTTGGTGGAGTCTTGAGCCTCTTTAAAATACATCCTTAATGGAAGTCTATATAGTTCAATTATTTTGGTGGAAGCTTGAGCTTCTTAAGAATACATACTTAATCGAAGTGTGTATAGTTCAATTATTTTTTTGCCATAAATCCATAGATCATTTGATACCAAAGGTACCAATCTACATTAAGTAAAGCAGTTTTCCAAAAGAAGTTATAAATTTATTTTAATTATATTATAAATTTTGACGTGTTAATGTTATAACCACAAAACACGAGTATCTGTTTAATTCCTTAAATTATGATATCTACCATATTGGATTATCTCTTAAAAATTTTTTTGGAAACAGATTAGATAATGCTTCAAATATTATTGACCTACACAACCCAGCCTCGTCTCGTGTGCTAACTAAACTGCCAAACTATAATATGGGATGCATTTGTCACTCCATAAATCTTACGGTACAAAATATTTTTAATGCAATTTTATCTCAAGTCGCTCTTCGCCTGAGTGATTTACCCAGCTTTTTAAAAAGAGCACTTTTTGTTAAAAACAGTAGAAAAAATTAATTCACTAATAAATCCAAAGAATGAATGCGTAGGCACCCCATCCCCTTTTCAGAATTTTTGTGCGACTTGTTAGTTGGTTCGAGAAAAGTGGTTTGTAACTTACCTGTAATTTGGCAAGAACTAAAAGCTTTCTTTATTTGAGCTGAAATAAATGCAAACTCTCATGTCCGTTACAAAATCTTTTCAACAAGCAAAGTGTTTCAGATAGTACTTTATATCTTTATGTGTTGGCGTAACTTATATCTTCATGTGTTGGCGTAACCTATATCTTTATGTGTTGGCGTAACTTATATCTTTATGTGTTGGCGTAATTTTGCTAAATGTGTCTAAAAAATACATATTGATACATTTTTTTAATTTTATTTGAGAAGAGATTAAAACTTAAGGAAATAAATTTCAACTCTTTGTTTTTTTTGTTCTGGTTTATTTATGGTTTATTTAATTTTGGCTTAATAAAAAAAAAAAAAAAAACTGGCAACCCTTCCTGGCAAATGGAAAATATTATGCTTTGAAGTTCTTTGCTAAAGATTCAAGTTTCAGTTAAGCAAAGTATTATGCATAAAATACTTTCAATTTTTAGTGCGCGTAAAAAGATTATTTAAAGCAATCAAAATATTACAAAAAATTGCGGTAATTTGTTTATAACAAATACATCTTTTTTAAAAGCTAGTTTTTGTTGTGTCTTTTTTATACTTATTCCTTAAGATGGTTGCAATAAAAAAGTATTATTAACATAGAAAAATAACCAGACAAAATCGATAAGAACAACGTTACCTACAATTTCTGTGAGACAATTTTGACTGCGATCAATCTGTGTTAATACAAGCACACTCTATTATCATGTTACTAGAACACATCATATAAAATCAATGATGGCACCGGCAGTTTGAACACACTAGGCATATCGTCTTTTTTTACAGCTTCTCCGCCTCAAATTAAAAAAAAAAAATCTAGAGATGGATCAGAAATAAACAGACTTTAACGTGATGCGCGCCCAGAAAATAGCTGACTTCGTCTTGATGCTTGTGATGTACGCCCATTATGTTTTGTTGAAACAACACAGATCCAGGCTTTTTTGTTAAAACTCGTTCAAATATTACAATACTGATAAAGAAAATATACGACTAGGCTGTTAAGTCTCTGAAACTGAAATCAGAGAAGATGCAGTTTGTTGCGTTTACATCTGATATGTAGACTCGAAAATCAAAACATTGTGTATATCTGTGAATCTGCGCATTAGGTAAACATAGAATGGGAACTATTTAGTTATTATTAACTAAACAGTTTTGTGTATATATTTATCTTCAGTTGCAATAATTTACAAGACAGTCCAATAATGCGTTGCAATAGCGTGCTCATGAAATACTATGTAATTAAAAAAAGGGTAAAGCGTGCTAATATATCTGCTAATACAAGAATTCATTGTTCGCGCAAATATGCGCAACAGGGAATGTATTTCCTAATTTTGCAGACAAAAGAATGCTCTGAAAGGCACAAAGGAGAAAATATCCCGTATTCTGCTGATAACTGGGTGATTCTTGCTAAGAAAATTGCTGCTACAGACCATGATAACTGCTGTAATATAAATCTAGCTATGCCCTTTCTTGATAAATTGTCGGATCAGCAATGTTTTTAACTCTGCTAATGAAAAATAAAGCTGGTCGCAAGCCATTATACCGTTTCTGAAACCATTGTAGAAGATATTAACTATATCATCTGGTCAGAAATATGTCGTTAGTCTATACTGCGTTGCTTTTTGTTCAAAAATGTGTCTAAGCAGCAAAACCAGACAATTGCACTACTGCCATAAATTGCAGAAACCCTATTGCTACTTAAATAGTAAAATATTATTACCCGAAAGGTTACAGTGTACTTACTGAGCCAAAAACCTCTATATTATTTCAACCTTTTAGACCAATATAATTTTCTAAAAAATCTATTCGAAATGATACATATTCGGCTTTGAACTAAAAAGGAAACTATTGAGATGCCAGTATTGGGAGAAAGTATCGAAATAGTTGAAGACAAAGTCACTTTATTAATCTAAACTATTTAACAAAAAGTAAAAAATTAACTAGAACATCATCAGTGACGGATCAACGCAGGATGGGGGAGTGTTAGAATAGAATGAATGTTTTTATTACGCTTTTCTTTAAAATAATTCTTGAAATTAATATTAATTTCAAGAATTATTTTAAAGAAAAGCGTAATAAAAACATTCATTCTATTTTATTTATGAACAACTTAAATAATTTATTAAAAGATTTAATGTAGTAAAAAAAAACAATTTTTTTTTTTAGATTATTTAGATTATTATACAATAAACTAAAAACCTGATATTATAATATCAGGTTTTTAGTTTATTGTATAATAACATATATAACATACTATTTTTTTTTACTACATACATATATAATAAACTAAAAACCTGATATTATAATATCAGGTTTTTAGTTTATTGTATAATAATCTAAATAATCTAAAAAAAAATTTTGTTTTTTTTTACTACAGTAAATCTTTTAATAAATTATTTAAGTTGTTCATAAATATTTTTATTTTGTTTTAAAAATATTTTTATTTTTTAGGAAAAAATACATTCTTTACCAAACGTTTTAAAGAGGATGACGATTTTACTACATGCACGATTCTACAAATATGTACTTTGAAGATAAAAAAAAAAAATATGTTCTACTTCTTGTCATATCCCTAGCTTTATTAGAACTTTTTCGTTGCTTTATTCCAGAAAAAGCCCTTTTTTAAAAAACTATTTTCTTAAACGCAATTTTATAACAATTATAACAAAAGTTTGTGTGGTAAACACACAAGCATAATTTTAGAGTGCATTTTTATAGTGGCAGATTTTCGACAATAGGTTTTTAGAAGGAAATGTGAGCTTATCTTTTATAACATACTTATAATTTATATACATTATGATGTACCAATTGGCAGTGGCGGATTGAGGTTTAGTGTCGTAGGGGAGGGGACTTAAGGAAAAGAAGAGAAATGAGTTAGAGACAACAAAAGTTAGGGGTAACATTCATCCCTATTATTATTTTTATGTCCCTTTCATAACTACTAAGTACGTCTAAGTCACTAATCATTCTTAAGTTTGAGTTTGTTATGTTTTCTCTTGGTTAACAATTATCTTTAAAAAATAAATATTTGAAAAATTTTTTACATATAACTTTATCTCCTATTGTACTGAAACAAAAGACTTAAAAATAAAATGATTGCCGTTTTATAAGAAAAAATCCAAGAAAAAAAGATGTAGATAATATTATTCTTAACCAAGATTGTCAGATGGCATTATAGAACCCCTAATGATGGATCTAAGATTTTTTTGGTTTTTGAGCTAAGTTCCAGACATGAAGCTAACTCCCAACATTTTTATGTTTATACTTTTGTCAAATAATGATGATTTGCAAAAGATTGCCATGATTGCGGGCTGGAAAAAAAAAGCCGTAAACATTACCCGTCCCGATCGATTTTATTTGATCTCTCAAATTACTTATTTGTTCTTTAGATAAAATTTTTTTCGTTTTAGAGCAACTGATCCAATTGTTTTTTACCAAATACAAATGTGATTGGTTAAAGAAGAAAAATTTTAGACTTTAACTAATCGTATTTGTACATTTTTACAAATTTTTCATATCATTTTGCAGCAAGTTATGTAATTGTTTTTTAAATCATAAATAATTGGTTGGAAAGCAGTTTAAACCAATCACTATTTATTAAAATAACAATTGCGAGAATTGTTACAAAATTTCCGCAAAAAAATACAAAATTGTTTCAAATATGATAGGAAAACTTTTTTATTAATCAATCAATTTTGTAGAAAGTTTAGAACAATTGTATCACTTGCTCCAAATCGTTCAAAATTTGCAAAATTTTAATATGCCACCTGATATACGCACTTTGCTCGTGATTTTTGTCGAAGGACTTTTCTAGTAAATTAAAGTTTTGAAACAACAATAAACTTTTTTAGTCTAGAATGCGATTAAGGCTAGGTATTTGCAAAATATTTACAGATGTAAAAATCAGTTAACTGAAGAGTTGAAAATTTTAATTAATAAGTGCCCAGTGCAACCATATAGTCAGTCTTGAAAATTCGGAAATGAATTGTTTTATCCGGAAGCCAGAAGATTATGTTTCTTTAAGGTAAAACCTTATTACTAAATATATATATACAATATTGGACAAAACATTTGCAACCAACATCGAACAATGCTAAAAAGTGTTCCTAATTTTACATGTCTTAAAAACGCAACGACCTGTACTACCACAGCAAACAGTCGAGGAGACTAGAGTCATAGCATGCCATGACATGAGCAATCAGCTGACAGGTGACAGCACACAGGCAGAATTTCGTTGACAAGTGTCATTATGCTGCGGACAAAACAAGTGCAACTTTTTTGGTTTGTTTCATTTTTTTAAGTCTGGTCCGTGACAGCGTCGCGGAAGTTTTTTAATAAATAAAGGAAGTATCCAAAAGTTTCTAGAAGCATGCAGAAGCTTCCAGAAGTTTTCAGAAGAAGAACCTGAAAGCATCCAGAAGCATTTAGAAGTATCCAGAAACATTCAGATGCATCCAAGTGCAAAACCGGCTCTCGACAGTCTTCAATTGGAACTAAGAAAGAAAATTATTGGCAATTACGTAAGTGAAATGTCACAAAAAGTATTTGTGATAAATATCGCGTAAAAAAATGGACCGTATCAAGACTATGTTCCAAATATCGTTCTACGGGGAAGTTGGCAGCAGATAACAAAGGTAAAAGACCGCGTTCCACCACTTCTAGAGAGGATTCTATGATCGTAAGATCCGTCAAGATGCATCCCTGGATATCATCAGTCGAGATACAAAAGCAATTAGAGCTGCCCGTATCGGAGCGAACAATCCGACGACGTGCTGTTAAAGCTGGATTGTTTTCTCGACGCCCTGCAAAGAAACCGCTAATTTCACTAAAGAACCAGAAGAAAATAGTCCTGTTTGCTACATCTCATATTGACTGGAATCTGCAAAAATAAAGAACTGTCATGTTTAGTGATGAATCGAAGTTCAACATCATTGGGAGCGATCGCATTTGCTGTGTACGTCGACCGGTTGGAAAGCGCTTCGATTTACGTTACTGCCATAAAACCATGAAGCATGGTGGAGACAATGTAATGGTCTGGGGGTGTTTTTCTGCTAACGTTCTTGGTCCAATACATCGAATCGATAGGATAATAAACCGTTTCATGTATTAAAATATCCTGAAAGATGTTATGTTACCTCATGCTGAATGAAATATGCCAATAAAATGGGTTTTTAGCAAGACAACGATCCGAAGCACACTGCAAAAGTAGTCAAACAGTGGTTTTAAGACAACCACCTATCAGTGATGGATTGGCCGCCGCAATCTCCGGATCTCAACCCTACCGAGAACCTGTGGGAGATCATCAACCGCAGAATTAATCGTAAATTAGAATGTTTGTAATTAGAATCGTGTAGAAACGTGTTCGTAATTAGAATCAACTGTTTGAACAAATCCATATGGCCTGGGCAGCGATTCCACAAATTTTCATTAATCACCTGATCGAATCTATGCCTCGAAGATGCAAGGCTGTGATCAACAACAAAGGGTTTGCCACGAAATATTGATAGCAAAATACAGCTTGGTCAACATTTTGTGGAGTTGCACTTGTTTTGTCCAGAAGGAAATCAACTTTTTATTATACTTTTGATTACTTTATTAATTTTCGTGTACAAATAATAAACTTTGTGATGAATAAAACTTGAAGAACGTTGTCTCTAAACAGTTACATAGCTATTTCTCTAAATTGAAAAAATCCAGCACTTTTATATAAAGAAACTAAATTAGCTTTATTTGGTTGCACTTGTTTAGTTCGATACTGTATATAAAGACTCAAATACTATATATTATGTTTCAAAATATCTAAACCATGGTATACTTTTAATCGCTGGCAAAGACAATGCAATTTTGTTAGATATAGTAAACACAGTATTTTGTCAAAATTCTATATTTATTTTTCCAACATCTATTTAATAGATATTTAATAGACTATTAATACAAAAAGGTCATTTAAAATTGAATGACTTAGCCACTATTTTTGGTCAGTTTATTCTAGCAATGAAGATTGAACTTACTGTTTTCCTTGAATTTTGCTACGTGCTAGTATTCCAAATAAATCTGGAATAGTAACTTTAGTTTTCAAGCCTCATCTAGAATGGGCTAATGCTGTTCATGATTTTAAAAAACATAAAAAAAAGTTTTTTTTACAATGCATTACGTTCACGTTGCAGCCCCAACGTAATGTTATTGAGGTTGATTTGTACAATTCTTCTTTAAAACCTTTTCTAATAACTGAAAAAAGTTGTTCCAATAACTAAAATAATAATATTTCTTAGTTGGAAAAGGTATCTTTATACAGCTTTTAAAAATTCGCGTTGATGCAGATGATCAAATAATAGCTAACCATATTTTTTCAATGCTAAAAAATGCAATCTTTATATAAAAAACTACCAAAAATCAACTTATTGATTTTTTTTTGGAAAATAATTGAGTTCCTTCAACTGTACTGTCAAGAATACAAGTTATAAAACCATGGAAATCTGATTTTTAAATTTCTATTTATTTGATATGCCTCATTTTACTTCAATACATGCTGTGTTACATTTATGGTTGTTATTTTTGAAAAACCAGTCAAATATTCTTTCAACTGTTTGCTAGGCTATTAACATAAGAGGTTTTCCAAATATAAGAAAAGCGTTTCTTTATATATTAGGAACAATTCTAATAACAACGTGTGAATGTGAAAGAAGTATTTCAATTATATATATAACTGAATACAGTTTCAATCAAAGTATTTCAATCAAAGTATTCTATTTAGGCTCAAAACTTTGAAATTTTCAGTTTTTAGCATACAAATATCTGGGACAATATAATAATTTTTATTTTTTACTAATGTAATTTAAAGAAGCTATTTAGTATAAAGGGAGTAGACTAAAAAAGTTAAGGAATTAAGTTTGCTATTTAAGTTTGGGTGGTAAAAGTAGTTGAGGGGAGGGGTTTATTTTATACCAATAAAGCAATATATATATATATATATATATATATATATATATATATATATATATATATATATATATATACATATATATATATATATGTATATATATATATATATATATATATATATATATATATATATATATATATATATATATATATATACATATATATATATATATGTATATATATACATATATATATGTATATATATATATATATATATATATATATATTTCAGTTAAAAGTCTTCGTTTTTGGTGAAATGGTGTCTATTAGTGAAATAGTGGACAAATCTGATATAATTTGTTACCCATTCAAAATGTTTTTGGTGTGCATGTGTGTATGTATTTAAATGCCTTATAAGTCAAAGATTTTAATATTAAATTTAAAATATAAAGTATTGTTAAAATATTAACTCAAAACTAAATGTTATATTAACATTTAGATGTGTAACAACATAAAAAAGTAACTCTACTTAATAAAAGTTTTAAAAAATTCAACAGTCCGATCAGAATTTTATGTATCATCTAATTTGTTCTAAGTGTCTTTACCTTAGGTTAGGCAACATATTTCTGTTGCTTTCTTTGTATAATGTTCTGGAACTTATTTAATGTAACTTGTATAATGTTCT